TGTGCGTGTGTGTGCTTCACGTGCCTGTGTGTGTGCGTGTATGTGCGTCGCGTGCGTTTGCAGGCCGAGACGTACCAAAAGAAGAACCGGAAGATGCTCGCGATCCTCCTCCTCTTCGTGATCCTCGTCATCATGATCCTCGTCCTGGTGGGGACCAAGGGGAGATAACGGGGCGGGCCGGCGCCCCCCGGGGCCACCGCGCCCCCCCCCCCCCCCCCCCCGTGCACCAACGTGACGACGCGTGCTGAGCATCGCTCTATTTATTGGATGTAAATTTCCCGTCGGCGCTTGCCTCCCAATACCCCGTCCCCTCGCGCCCCCCCCCCACCGACCCCGCCCCCTCCCTCCCCCCCCGCCCCCCCACCAACCCCACCTCCTCCCTCCGCACCCCCGGCCCACGACAGGCGCCAGAAATCGCCGAACTTCCGAACGACCGAAGCACCGCCGGGTTCATAATGGCCGGCCGGTGGAGGGGATGGGGGGGGAGAGGAAGCCTTGCAACCTTGTGCGGCGTTTGGACATGTCGGGGGTACGAGGAGGGAGTGAGGAGGGGAGATGGGTAAAGATTTGCGGGGGGGAGGAGGCGGAGGGGGGTGGGGGCCGTGTCTGACCATGGTGCCGGTAGCTTGCGGGTCGTCTGATGCCTCGTTTCCCTGACCCAACGAGGGGGGTGGTGGTGGTGGTGGACACTGGGTTTTGGTCAACCCAGGATTGGCCCCGTTCCGGCCCAGATATGGCACCAGGGCCCAGGGTCAGAGTTCGCAGACTCCTGCTCCATGCGGTCCCGTCCCTGTCCTCCCTTTACGCTTCTCAGCAAAGGGGGTTGGGGTCTGGAATACATCTTTAGGTTAACGTATTCATCTACGTGGAGATCTGTTCCGTGAATCGATTGTTCCGTGTCCGAGCGAGAAGTTTGGCGGCAATGGGTACCCCAAGTCTGACCTTTCTCGAAGCGATATTCAGCCTTGAGGGGCAATGGAATTCTTATACCGTTTTTTTTTTTTCCACTGGCACATCCAAGCCGAGCCAGCACGCTGCCCTCGCGGTACAAGTTGTTTTTTCCACTCGATATTCACCGAGCCAAGCCGGAACCAAACTTTGATTCGCTGGCATTGCACGGCACGGCGCGGCTTTCTGTAGTGGAGAAAGCAACCCGGCCCGACTTCCTGAGCCGCACAGGGCCAACTCGGCACGGCTCTGTTGCGCCGGTGGGGAAAAAAAGTGGGTGGTTGACGGTATCGCCAGTGCGGTCACGGGGTCTGGTGGTGGGACCGAGGCAGGAGGTATAGAGGGGCAGCTGGGTTCTGTTCCGAATTGGGTGCGAAGGTTTTAACCAAATACACGGGCAACCAAGAGATGCATGTGGTGGTGCTTGTTGTGTCTAGGGGAAGAGGGGCTATTTTTGTGAATATATGGGGGAAGTTAAAGATGTACAAGAGATGTGTAATTATCCTTTGGCTCGGAGGGGGAGGGGGAAGTACGGCATCTTGTTGTTTTGCTTTGTTTTAATTGTGACTTTAACGTGAACAAATAATTCATGAAGTTGACATTCCACTGGGTGGGTCGTGGGGTCACACGGTGACACGGTACGGCCACGCCCCCCCAATGCGAGTCATCCACACAGCGAGGGTCGCCCTCGTCCCCCGTGGGTTGCTGGCTCGCTCACTCGCCCACGTGTGGACGGGGCGACTCGTCGTGGCGAGCGACCCACGCGGAGACTCGAGCAACTCGCATTGAGGTCGCTTGGGGCTTCCAGCGAGTTGCTCGCTCGCACGAAGACCGGAAGGGCGACTCGCAGCTAATCGCCTGCCCCCCCTTGCCCTTTGCGAGTCGCTCACCTTCCACACCAGTCGCTCCGTCTGCGCGCGACTCGCTCGGCCCTCGCTAGAGTGGCTCTGTCACTCGATCAATGGCTCGCGCATCAAGCGAGTCGTCCGCTCGTTAATCTCTCGTCGAGTCGCTCGATCTCAACCGCCGCTCGCCCGCTCGCTTGCTCGATCGCGTCCACCCACCCAGTCCCCGCGGCGTCCGATCTCCCCGCTGCGGCGTCGGGATCGAGACGTGGGCGGGTCACATGACTGCCAGGGCCGCGGCGGTGGAATATGCCGTGCGATGAATGTCTTGTCGTTGTCGGCGCTGCCTGTAAATCCTCATCGTGTTGCGTAACCCGCGTGTCCGTAGCGTGGAGGGCCGCAAATCATTTGTCTAATTTATCCGCCCCCTGTAACGGGCTGCCACGTGAGCCGCTTGCGGTTTAATAAACGGGCACGCTCCGTCGCGACTCCGCTGTCTCGCTCCCGCTCTCTCTCGCGGCGTGTCCGTCCACCCGCCAGTCCGTCCTGGTTTGGTTGGCTTGCACGTGTCATGGTCCATCAAGTTATCGATGGCTGAAGTAATTTACTACTAAAGTAATGCATTACTAAAGTAATGAATTCTACAGATTATCGGTGCCATTGCTCGACTTAAAAACACCGGCAATATTTTCAATTTTAAGCTTTGCGTGAACTGCAGGGATTCATCTTCTTGGTTCTTTCGGTAAAGTCACGTAGAAGGGAAATAATAAAAATAAAACATCATAAAATACAATTCTCTCGACGTTTCGGCGACAACACAAGCAGCCGTCAGGTTAAGACAGCTGTCTTTCAGAGCTGTCTTTCAGACAGCTCTGTCTTCACCTGAGGACGGCTGCTTGCGTTGTGGCCGAAACGTCGTGAGAATTTTATTTTATTATGATTTATTTTTATTATTTTATTAGTTCCCTTCTACGTGACTTTACCGAAAGAACCAAGAAGACCAGCAATCTTGTACCCATGGCTACACCACGGAAAAGGACGTTCGAGTCAAGGGTGTAGCAACGCATGGGTGAAGAGAGAGAGGAACGGGAAGAGAGGGGAGGAAGAATGGGAAATGAGAGGAAGAGGATGGCAGAGGAAGGGATGAACGGGAGCTTCCACGTTGCTGCTGCACGGAGGAGGAGCGGCGTCTGTTTTCGCAGTGGGTGGTGATGGGGGAGAGGGGCGGGGGTTCAGAGTGGGGGTGGCCACACAAGCCACGTGAGTTACAGGAGGCTTGAGCTGATGTAGAAAGGTGAATATTGGCAAAACGGGATGCCCATAGACTAACATGGAGAAAACGGAATTCCCATAGACTAACATGGAGAAAACGGAATGCCCATAGACTAACATGGAGAAAACGGACTGCCCATAGACTAACATGGAGAAAACAGAATGCCCATAGACTAACATTGAGAAAACGGAATTCCCATAGACTAACATGGAGAAAACGGAATGCCCATATACTAACATGGAGAAAACGGAATTCCCATAGACTAACATGGAGAAAACGGAATGCCCATAGACTAACATGGAGAAAACGGAATGCCCATAGACTAACATGGAGAAAACGGAATGCCCATAGACTAACATGGAGAAAACGGACTGCCCATAGACTAACATGGAGAAAACGGAATGCCCATAGACTAACATTGAGAAAACGGAATTCCCATAGACTAACATGGAGAAAACGGAATTCCCATAGACTAACATGGAGAAAACGGAATGCCCATAGACTAACATGGAGAAAACGGAATGCCCATAGACTAACATGGAGAAAACGGAATGCCCATAGACTAACATGGAGAAAACGGACTGCCCATAGACTAACATGGAGAAAACGGAATGCCCATAGACTAACATTGAGAAAACGGAATTCCCATAGACTAACATTGAGAAAACGGAATGCCCATAGACTAACATGGAGAAAACGGAATGCACATAGACTAACATGGAGAAAACGGAATGCCCATAGACTAACATGGAGAAAACGGAATTCCCATAGACTAACATGGAGAAAACGGAATGCCCATAGACTAACATGGAGAAAACGGAATTCCCATAGACTAACATGGAGAAAACGGAATGCCCATAGACTAACATTGAGAAAACGGAATGCCCATAGACTAACATGGAGAAAACGGAATGCCCATAGACTAACATGGAGAAAACGGACTGACCATAGACTAACATGGAGAAAACGGAATGCCCATAGACTAACATTGAGAAAACGGAATTCCCATAGACTAACTTTGAGAAAACGGAATGCCCATAGACTAACATGGAGAAAACGGAATGCCCATAGACTAACATGGAGAAAACGGACTGCCCATAGACTAACATGGAGAAAACGGAATGCCCATAGACTAACATTGAGAAAACGGAATTCCCATAGACTAACATTGAGAAAACGGAATGCCCATAGACTAACATGGAGAAAACGGAATGCACATAGACTAACATGGAGAAAACGGAATGCCCATAGACTAACATGGAGAAAACGGACTGCCCATAGACTAACATTGAGAAAACGGACTGCCCATAGACTAACATTGAGAAAACGGAATGCCCATAGACTAACATTGAGAAAACGGACTGCCCATAGACTAACATTGAGAAAACGGAATGCCCATAGACTAACATTGAGAAAACGGAATGCCCATAGACTAACATTGAGAAAACGGAATGCCCATAGACTAACATGGAGAAAACGGAACTTCATGTTTCAGGAGGTGAGATGTTCACTCTCTCGCCTGGCATGCAGGAGGTCGTGGGTTCGATCCCGACCCTGACGCCTGCTGTGTATTTGGAGTTGGCGTCTCTCTCTCCGTGGCGAGATGTTAACTCCCTCGCCTGGTATACAGGAGGTCGTGGGTTCGATCCAGACTCTGACGCCTACTGTGCATTCGGAGTTTGCGTGTCTCTCTCCCCGTGGTCGCGTGGATTTTTCTTCCGATCTCCCGGTTTACCCCCCTCCACGTTGGGAATCGAATCAACATCGCGCGTTTCAGAGGATTTGACTGCCGTGCATTTTCACACGACGGCAAAGCCGCCACTTCGTTGGGGCTGTCGTTTGTGCGTGGTGCCTGGTGGCTTCTGAAAATGAATAAGTAATATTTTTAAAAAACTTTTAAAAAACACGCTTTCATCAAATGTACCGTACTAGCAATGGAAGAATTCCACGACTCCAGGAAGTGACCCCGAAGCTTGCCATAACATTATGGACCGTGGCCAATTACAGCCAACGTGAGTTGAGCGTGGACAATTAGACCCAAGCCGAAACATAACATATAAAAAATAATGTTTCAATATGCAGTATATTTATTTTTCATGATAGAATATAGTGTTGTCATCAGTATATGACATAAGTATACCAAGTTTGCATTCGATACCACATTGGGAAGTGGGTTAAAATTTAGTTACAAGATTTGAGGATACAACAACAACAGACAGAGTGAGTTAAATAAAAGCGTGTAAGACAATTAAACCCAAGCCGAAACATAACATGTAAAAAATAATGTTGAAAAATATTTTTTTCTATGATAACATATAGTGTTGTCACCCGTATGACATAAGTATACAAAATTTGCAGTCGATACCACATTGGGAAGTGGGTTAAAATTGAGTTACACGATTTGATACAACAACAGACAGAGTGAGTTAAATAAAAGCGTGTAGAAAGAGTGGAATAATAAAAAATAAAAAGCCACATACAGATTCAGTGGGCCTTGCCTGGTAAAAACTAAAAGTTTTACTTTTGACCAGGTGAGAACTCCCGAGAGAGAACGGGTCTCATTTGTCACGGCTCTCATTTGCAAAGAGTGGGGTCAACCGATCATGTGAAGCGATGTGTAGGGGATATGCATCATCGGTGCAAAAACAACGAGAAAATGTGGCACAAACACGACCCGGTGTGAATTAGTGGACTCCCCCTACCCCCCTCTGTAGCGTGCAGAGTCGGCTGGGGCAGATTATAGTTTAGACTTGATCACAGCACAATTAGACAATTATGTTACGGGAACGCCAAACATCAATAGGTTGCCTCTTGTACAGCGCCTGGGGCGTTAACAGACGATTTGCTGATGCTGCCGATGCTGCGTTGGCAGTGGTGCACAATTAACAAAGCAATCCGCACTTTTATAATAGGTACGTTTCGGGCAATTGCCCTTTGTGAACGCGCTATATTAAAAAAAGGTGCATTGCCTGAAACGTCGACACGTCCTGTGAAGGCTAGTTTTTTAGTGTTCTTAGCAAAGGGCGGGGTAATTTTCGATTTAAAGCTTTCGTGACTGCAGGGATTCATCTTCTTGGTTCTTTCGGTAAAGTCACGTAGAAGGGAAATAATAAAATAATAAAAATAAAACATAAAAGAATTCTCACGACGTTTCGGCCACAACGAAAGCAGCCGTCTGCTTGCGTTGTGGCCGAAACGTCGTGAGAATTATTTTATAAAGTTTTATTTTTATTATTTTATTATTTCCCTTCTACGTGACTTTACCGAAAAAACCTAAGAATATGAATCCTTGCAGTCACGAAAGCTTCAAATCTAGAATTTACCGATAAAACCAAGAATAAAAAGGGCGGGGTTTGTGGGTGAGTGGGGGGCGGGGCTTGCTAACAAGGGGCGGGGCTTGTGGGCAAGGGTGCGTGTTTAGGGGCGGGGCTTGTGGGTGAGTGGGGGGCGTGATTGTGGGTAAGTGGGCGTGGCTATGCGGGCTAGGGGGCGGGGCTTGTTGGTGAGTGGGGGCGTGATTGTGGGTAAGTGGGCGTGGCTATGCGGGTGAGTGGGCGGAGCTTGCGGGTATAAGGGCGTGGTCTGAGGGTCAGGGGGGTGGGGCATGTGTCTGAGGTGGAATTTTGGAGTGAAGATGGGCGGGGCTTGATATAGCGAGGTGGCGGTTGGTGGGCGGGGCTTGAGTGATAGGCGTGGCTTGGAGATAAGAGGCGGGGCTTGCGGGGTGATGGGCGGGGCTTGGAGATAAGAGGCGGGGCTTGTGGGTGAGGGGCGTGGTTTGGAGATAAGAGGCGGGGCTTGGAGATAAGAGGCGGGGCTTGGAGATAAGAGGCGGGGCTTGCGGGCGAGGGGCGTGGCTTGGAGATAAGAGGCGGGGCTTGCGGGTGAGGGGCGTGGCTTGGAGATAAGAGGCGGGGCTTGGAGATAAGAGGCGGGGCTTGGAGATAAGAGGCGGGGCTTGGAGATAAGAGGGCGTGGCTCGCAGGTGTTGCATTATTAACGCATGCGTGCGTTCGCTCACTCAAACACATCCACGCGCATTCACGGCCGTGCACGACACTCATTTATTTATACATTGGTAAGACTTTCGCGTACGGACGACACGGCGTGGCGAGACCTGTATCCATCCAGCAGTGGATTTAATCGGCAGAGCACAGTAAGTTAAACATTTCACGGGTCGCAAGCGTTAACATTTATTAAGCGTGGCGGGGTATGGTGACGTTCATACAACATTTACACACCGACACTGTACGTGTTTCATCCAGCAGTGGATGGTAACGCAAGGTTATGACTTCGGCACTGTACTCACAATTCAATACTGGCACGTACACGCGCATTTACACGCTAATCGCGCGCATTTATACTCGCACTTACACACAATCACACGCGTTACAGACATATTTACTAATATTTAAGCACAATCGCACACACCCACGCTTACACATAAACAACAAGACAAAGATCCCCCGTGTAGCCTTAACAGACTGTAGGGGCAAGTGCTGTTAGCGAGAACCACGCCCGGCCGCCTTTGTCTCCCCAGTGGCGATGTTCACACGCCGAAACCGGGTACTCATTTGAGGCCGAGTCGATCTAGGGGAGGCCCAGAACCGATTTGGTTACAGGTTTGGAGCGCAGCGCGCTAACCACTACGTTGCCGCTCCCCCCCCCCCGACACACATTAAACACATTCACAACACAACAAAGACACATTAACATGCACATCAATAATACACACGCTTACACATACAGTACATACTTTACATACAAATGTATCGACCTTAGACTGTTGTGAGGCGAGCCGTTAGCGAGCACATTTACACACCGACACATACAATCACACACACAAAGACAAAGGTCCCCCGTGTAGCCTGAACAGACTGTCGGGGCAAGTGCTGTTAGCGAGCACCGATGAAGGCTGGCAACACCACGCCCGGCCGCCTTTGTCTCCCCAGTGGCGATGTTTACACACCGCACTAGGTACAAATTCGAGGCTGAGTCGACCTAGGGGAGGCACAGCAACCACTACCGCTCCCCACACACACACAGACTTGTACACACATTGACACACGCATTTACAGACACATTGGCACACACACATTGACACACACATGTAATCGTATACATTAACACACATGTTATTACACATGTAATTACGCACATTGACACACATTGACACATACACATGTAATCACACACATTGACACACGCATTGACACGCACACACTGACACACACAATGACACACACAATGACACACACATGTACTCACACACAATAACACACATTGATACACACTGACACCCAATAACACACACACATTGACACACGTACTCACACACAATGACACACACATGTACTCACACACACATTGACACACACACTGATACACACTGACACACACATTAACACACAAACAATAACACACACATTGACACATACACGCACTCACACACACAATGACACACACTGACAACACAATGACACACACACATGTACTCACGCACAATAACACACACAATAACACACACATTGATACACACACACACATTGATACACACACATGTACTCACACACACATGTACTCACACACACAATGACACACACTGACACACAATAACACACACGTACTCACACACACAATGACACACACTGACACACAATAACACACACACACAATGACACACACTGACACACAATAACACACACGTACTCACACACACAATGACACACACACAATAACACAAATTGACACACACACAATAACACACACACTGACACACAATAACATACACACTGACACACTGACACACACACATGTACTCACATACACATTGACACACACATGTACTCACACACACAATGACACACACTGATACACACTGACACACACACAATAACACACACATTGACACACACATTGACACACACACATGTACTCACACACACTGATACACACTGACACAAAGATAAAGACAAAGATCCCCCGTATAGCCTGAACAGACTGTAGGGGCAAGTGCTGTTAGCGAGCACCTATGAAGGCCGGAACGGTACACGAGGGGGTGGGTGGCCAGCACCACGCCCGACCGCCTTTGTCTCCCTAGTGGCGATGTTTACACACCGCACCAGGTACTCATTTAAGGCTGAGTCGACCTAGGGGAGGCCCAGGACCGGTTCAGATAATCGTCACTGGTGTTAGCCGTGAGCGGGAATCGAACCCGGGTCGCCAGGTTCATAGCGCAGCGCGCTAACCGCTACACTATCGCTCCCCACTCACACTGACACACACACAATAACACACACACATTGACACACGTACTCACACACACAATGAGACACACGTACTCACACACACATTGAAACACACTGATACACACTGACACCCAATAACACACACACATTGACACACGTACTCACACACAATGACACACACATGTACTCACACACACATTGACACACACACACATGTACTCACACACACAATGGCACACACTGATACACACTGACACACAATAACACACACAATAACACACATTGACACACACACATGTACTCACACACATTGACACTCACACACACAATAACACACACACATTGACACGTACTCACACACACAATGACACACACATGTACTCACACACACATTCACTCACACATGTACTCACACACACAATAACACACACACATTGACACACACACACATTGACACACGTACTCACACACACACAACCCCCCCCTCACCCCCACCGCGGCTGTCAGCTGACGCTCGCGTCACGTGGTGGCTCGGCTCACCACCCCCTCTCCCCTCTCTCTGTGGAAGCGCAACGGGGTCCGTGCGAGGGGGGTACCCGCCAGACCCCGCAGGGAAGACAACAGCGGCCGGGACACGGACCCCAGAGACGCCGACGGGGTCGTGGGGGGCATGTGAGCCGTGGGACTCCGATCGGGGGTCCAATCTCCGCAGCCCTCGCCACCCTCCGAGGATGTCGGCGGGCCGCGGCTGCAGCGGAGCCGGCGAGGGATGTCGTGGGAGGAGGAGGGGGTCCCTACGGCCAAGGGGACTCAGCCGAGGGGGGCCCCTTACCGCTCGAGGCCGTGCTCCGAGCCTACGAGCAGCCCATCAACGAGGAGCAGGCGTGGGCCGTGTGCTTCCAAGCCTGCCGGGTCCTGGCCGCGACCCCCTCTGGCGGCGGCGAGGGGGCCCGCGACCCCGGCGGCGGCGGTGGCGAGGGGAGCTCGGCTCGACCCCGTCTGCACCTCGCGGGGCCCCACGGGGTGCTGCTGCACAGGGACGGTGCCGTGCAGTGCGTGCTGCAGCCTCGAGGTGTGTGGGGGGGGGGCCTTGCCCCCACCCTTGCCCCCACCCCCCATCCCTTGCCCTCACCCCCCATCCCTTGCCCCCCCCCATCCCTTGCCCCCACCCCCCCATCCCTTTCCCCCCCCACCCCTTGCCCCCCCCTTGCCCCCCCACCCCTTGCCTCCCCCGACCCCTTGCCCCCCCACCCCTTGCCTCCCCCCACCCCTTGCCCCCCCCTTGCCCCCCACCCCTTGCCCCCCCCCTTGCCCCCCCACCCCTTGCCTCCCCGACCCCTTGCCCCCCCACCCCTTGCCTCCCCCCACCCCTTGCCCCCCCTTGCCCCCCCACCCCCTTGCCTCCCCCGACCCCTTGCCCCCCCACCCCTTGCCTCCCCCCACCCCTTGCCCCCCCCTTGCCCCCCCACCCCTTGCCTCCCCCGACCCCTTGCCCCCCCACCCCTTGCCTCCCCCCACCCCTTGCCCCCCACCTTGCCCCCCCACCCCTTGCCCCCCCCCTTGCCCCCCCACCCCTTGCCTCCCCCGACCCCTTGCCCCCCCCACCCCTTGCCTCCCCCCACCCCTTGCCCCCCCCTTGCCCCCCCACCCCTTGCCTCCCCCCACCCCTTGCCCCCCCCTTGCCCCCCCACCCCTTGCCTCCCCCGACCCCTTGCCCCCCACCCCTTGCCCCCCCCCTTGCCCCCCCCACCCCTTGCCTCCCCCCACCCCTTGCCTCCCCCCACCCCCTTGCCCCCCCCCCCTTGCCCCCCCCACCCCTTGCCTCCCCCCACCCCTTGCCTCCCCCCACCCCTTGCCTCCCCCCACCCCCTTGCCCCCCCACCCCTTGCCCCCCCCCCCTTGCCCCCCCCCCTTTGCCCCCCCACCCCTTGCCCCCCCCACCCCTTGGCCCGCCCCACCACTTGCCTTCTCCCCCATTGCCCCCTTCTTGCCCCCCCGATTTCCCGTCTCGTGTTTGTTGTTGTTGTTGTCTTTGTTTGTTTGGCTGCCCTTCCCTTGCCGCCTTGCCCTCCCATCCATTGTTTACCTCTTCACCTCGCCCTCCGTGCATTGTGTTCTCGTCTTAACCCTCAAGACTATTGGCTTCTCTTTCTCCCTGCCCATGCCCATGCCCCCCGGCCTTGCCCTTCATCTGTTGCCTACTCGGGCAATGCTCTTGCCTCGACCCCTCGCTGCCCAACCTTGCCCTCCGCGTCTTGCTTGCCCCCAATACCTTGACCTCAATACACTGTCTTCTTGTCTTGCCCTCTATATCAGCTGCCCATTTCCCTCGGCTGCCCTTCCCTTGCCCCTTGCCTTGCCCACTCCCCCCTCTGCCCTGCCTTGCCCATTTCCCTGCCAGCCTTGCCCTCCATGTATTATCGCTTTCTGCATGTCTTGCCCAGCCTGCGTGCCTTTGTCACACGACCCATGCAGCGTGGTACGGGGGGGGGGGTTCATCCAGCAGTGGATTTGGTTTGACAGTTGCCTTGAATACCTAAACAACACCAGCAACTCGTTCGCATGTACCGTGACAGCTTACAGCCCTATGGTTTATCCACTGCTGGATGAAGGCCTCCTATCCCCGTGCTGTTGTTGGTCATGGTGGGTGTAGGGGGGGGGGTGCGTGGGGGTTGTTTGACCATACTTCACCACAGTGGTGAAGTTTGGGGGGGGGGGCACTGGACCCGTTCAGATATCAACAATTCTGGCCGCCGGGTTTATAGCGCGGTGCCATCCGACGCTAAGGCATGCACTAGTACAGTAATATAGGTGTTGAATCCAATACGATCTTAAAGGTTCCCTAACCATAGGGAAAGCCTCCGTGAGTCTGAAGACATTTCGTTCAGCGAAGGGTCCTGCTAACTTTAGAGTGAGTTGCTTTAGTGAATCCCAAATAAAGTTTTTTTTGGGGGGGGTTAGATCATGCAAATATAAATGTGTCGTTAAACCCGCCACCACCCGCCATGGCCAATTATTGGTGAGGTTTGTCATGTAAACGTGACATTTCTCCTCCCTTGTTTAAGACCGAAACAGGGTGATTTCTCCACAACTCTGGCTGTCGCCTGATGATGCTGGTTGTAAATACCGGCGAAACGGCCGAACTCGGTGCAAATGTTGTGGGTTTACTCTCCGACACACCGGTGTGCTGTACTAGTAACAAATTGGCATGTTCTGTTGACGTGACAAATCTTACTAATTGGCTGTGTCGGGTGGTGGTGGTGATGGTGGGTTTAACTACACATTTATATTTACGCGATCTAACCCAAAAAAATACTTTATTATGGATGACATTGGTCGCGCGAGTCTACTACTACTACTACGTGTTAAACTTAGTGAATCGCTATCGTCCGTAAGAGTTTTTGGTGGCTTCTTGCCAGAGCCAGCCCGGACAACTCCGGAGAACTCCGGAGAAATGTGCAAAACTCCGCACAGATGGATTCGAGAATCCATTGCTGTACATTGGTTACTGTACATGTGTCAAAGTACAGTACGACTAAACAGATGATGCCACGGTGCTTGGCTCATGAGGCCCGAGGTAGGGATAAAAAGGGCCCTTGCGTGAGTGGTGATTTGGTCAAATACCAGAGGTCGCAAACGGGTTTTGATTCCTTACCCGTGCCCGTACCCGGCCGCACCAGGGTCGCAAACGGCTACCCGTACCCGGCCGGGTATAGGTAGCCGTGTATCGGGTAGGGTACGGGTATCGGGTACCCGGTTGCGACCTCTGTCAAATACCCAACGACACAGCACATGGTGCTGACCTGTTGTAGCAATAACGGTGGTAATTTTTATTTAAACCACAACGGCGGTGCCGATCACGAGCCCGCTGTGGTTAATGAACGACGGCAAGCGATGATTTGACCACAGTCTTATTAGTGTTCTTCATTTTCGTATGGCTGATGGAAACCGTGATTTTGTTTTATTAGGTTGTTATATGTCGATGTAGTTTTGATGAGCCAGTGATATGGTGGCGCGTAAGGAGTGTCGCGAAGTGGTTGATGTTCCATCGCAGCTGTGACGACGATGCCTCCTCCTTCCGCCTCCACCTCCGTATTTGTGAATGGGGCATTGAGTCTTTGTCACAACCTTTCCATGGTTCTGTCCTGACGAAACAAAACATGAATAAGCTTCATTTACCCATTTCCGGCAATAATACGGAACGGGATAATTGTTTTTACCCTTTTATCTGGCAACAAAACTGACACCTTTTTTACAAGGAGTCATGTTTGCATAGACCACAATACCTGCAGTCATAATGCAAACAAAAACATAACTCTGATAATGTATGCACTGTCCTTGAAGTTGATTGGTCCACACCCGGAGACAGCTTTCCTTAGAGCCTAGTCTCACATGGTTTTGGACCAGATGACGCTAAAAGGCGCACAACTCAAAGATAATGCACCATCAGAGTATGAGAGCTCGGGGTTAAGCATTTACACCATTGGTTGCCAGATAAAAGGGTTAAAAACCAATTACCATATTTTTTACTGGCAAATGAGGTTCCAATGGTGTAAATACGGGACGTGTTAAGATGTTTGCCAGTGCAAACATGGAAGCATAAATAGCTCCGGTTGAGCAGTTACAGCTATGGGGACCATGATTTGCCGGTATTGAAATTATGAGGCGGTAATCTTTTTAAAATCCTTTATAGTAAGTTCACTTGCGTGCTTGCTTGCGCGCTTACGACCGTGCAAATCTTTTGGTCGTTTTTTAACCCACTTCCCGTGACCCAATCGAGCTGACATTTTGCACACAGACTCGTTGTGCGTGACAATTTATTTTCGTGAAAAAATTTTTCCAAAATTTTCCACTTTTTAGGAATTAAAAAAAAAATATTTTATTTAAAATACCAATGTGATAAAAATGAAACTCTTACTCAAGAAAAACAGAAATGAATAATAAAATAAAACCGATGCCACGCATATAAAGGATTTATAGTGAAAAACTTAGTTTTTACGGGTTAATTTTTGGCAATAATAACACATCGTAAGTTTTCGCACATCGTGCTCATGGTAAAACTTACAAAGATACTGCGTGGATAATAATGTGTGCGTTGTCTTCGAAACGGATTGGCCTACGGCAGAGGCAGCCTTCTCTATGGTCTTGTCTCAAGGCCAAAAAGCGAACAGCACAAAGCCAATGCAAATATCAAAGCATTAATAGCTCGGATTGAGCAGTTATAACTACGCGACCCTTTTTGCCGGTTTGAAAATGATTAATCAATAATAGGCTTTACCCTTTCCCAGCAATAATAACGGGAATTGTCAAGATGTTTGAACAGGGTTCCATAGATTACCATCATTAAGTGTGACCGTGTCTGCTGATGCTGGTGCCGTGGTTTGTGTGGATGATTTGGTGTTGGGGTCGTGACCACCGTGAACCTGTAACCCACAATAACGATGACGCTCATCGTGAACCTGTGGTAACGATTCCAGCTCTGTTGTTCGTCTACCAAAGTGCGTCTTGGAATCAGTGGGGAGTGGTAGTGCGGTGGTCACGGCCAACATCGGTGATGAATATCTGAACTGGTCCTGGGCCTCTCCTAGGTCGGCTCAGCCTCAAATCTGTATCTAGTATGGTATATAAACATCGCCACTAGGGAGGCAAAGGTGGCCGGGCGTGGTGCTGGCCACCCATCCCCTTCGTATGCCGAACTGGCCTTCATAGGTGATACTCGCCAACAGCACTTGACCCAAAAAGTCTGTTGAGGCTATACGGGCGAGGGGGGGTGGTGGGCATCTTTGTCTTTGTCCTGTAAATAATCACGTGGGCTTTGGTCTACCGTTGTCGTGAGTTTCTCTGGGGCGGCTGTAAAACAAACAAACAAAAATCATGGGGTGGAGTTCGCATTCCCACAATTATAAAAAAAAAACTGCAGAGTACAGAACAAAGCTGAGAAATCCAAGCGCGCTCGTCGATAGCAACATCAGCACCACCGTGAGTGAGTGGCCTTAAAAGGAACAAATATATCCGAGGCGACGTTTCAGGACAAAGGCCCTGCCTCATAGGAGCGAATGAGTGCACATGGGTGGCCTGACGATAATGACACATTCAACAACAATGTTTCCTGACGAACAGTTTGCCAAATACATTTTAATTTTAAGCTTTCGTGACTGCAGGGATTCATATTCTTGGTTCTTTCGGTAAAGTCACGTAGTGAAGGGAAGCACTAATATAATGCAAATATTGTTTTATATTTGTATTATTTTATTGTAAAATTATTTTATTGTAAAATAATACAAATATTGTTTTATATTTTTATTATTTTATTGTAAAATTATTTTATCGTAAAATAATAAAAATATTGTTTTATATTTTTATTATTTTATTGTTTCCCTTCTACGTGACTTTACCTAAAGACCCAAGAATATAGTTTGCCAAATAGTCGAGTGAATCGTGACACTGTTAGTCCACGATCTCCCGAACACAGCTGGTTCACTCGCTACCCGCGACTTTCCCTGTAACTGTTATTACACATTGATCGAACGAATGAGTCACTATTGAGTAACGGACAACCCCTTCAAATATACAGCATAACCGATGGTACATATGTTCTTTTTGAGGCCACCGTGTTATTGTCACCCGTCTGGATTTGTTTTTCTTTGCATTAACTGTGCTTGTGCAGCGGCAGCAGCAGCAGCAGCGGCGTTGCCAAATCCTACGTTGAACTTGTTATCCGCCGCGTCACCACGCTGCACAGACAGGCCGCCTGTCACCCAGCCGCCCCCCCCCCTTCCCAGCCCCCCCCCCACCCCGCTTAGCCCCCCGTTTACTTCTGTCAAGGGTCAACATTGACCTCGTGCTCACAGTAAGCATTGACGCATTCCAGAGCCCCCAGCTGTGACCCTGCATGCCCCCCCCCACTGTGACCCTCCAGCTTTGACCTTGCATGCCCCCCCCACGGTGACCCCCCAGGGCCTCCCCACGTTGACCCTGCAGGGCCCCCATGTTGAACTTATTTATTTCGCACCGTACGTAAGCCAACCGTGCCAATCGGAGGCGCGACACTCTAACCCTCTTCTTGGTTCTTTCTGTAAAGTCACGTAGAATGGAAATAATAAAATAATAAAAAATAAAACATAATAATATTATGTTTTATTTTATATAATAATATGATGTTTCATTTTTTATTATTTTATTATTTCCATTCTACGTGACTTTACCGAAAGAACCAAGAAGATGAATCCCTGCAGTCACGAAAGCTTTAAATCGGAACTCTAACCCTCGTTGCTTTACGGCCCTGTTTGGTGACAATTCCACATTCCCATGGCGCGGGGGTGTTGGCAAGGTCGTGGTGGTCGACCTTTAACCCCGCCACCCACGACCCAGGATCGCACCAATAACGGTGGCGTTTGCGTAACAATCCGCCGAATTTTCGGTTCTTCATGGAAATAACGGCAGGGGTAGAGGGGGCTAATCTAGCTGTGATGGTCCCACCTGATGACGGAGATTTGTGTTGCCTCCGAAACGTCGTGATTTTTATTATTATTTTATTTCTATTATTACTTTAATTAATTTAAATTTCATTTTTTACCTACGTTACTTTACCGAAGAGACTAAGAGTAGAGAGGGGGCTGTTGAGAAGTTGTATATATCAGGGGAGAGGGGAGGGGGGCGGGGGCTATACCACCACACCGACGATGTGGTGGTAGCGCTCTGCTATGCGCGACCAAATATTGTGGGTGTACACAACGTGTGTAGTGCATGCTCCTCCACCCAGACGCAGCCAATTGGTGTCCGCCGAACTTCTTTTGCACCATACGCAGCCGACCGTGCCCATTGGAGGTGCAGAGGAGGGACGACACAAGTTAAAGTAGGCACGCGGTGAACGAAACGGACGCAACGAGTTGATAAACGCTCCGCTACCCAGCCAGCGAGAAACTTCCTTGCCCAGTTGTTAATCGAGCGCACCGCTAGTGCTGCTCCTGCAGCTGCTGCTCCTGCTTAGGAAGCGATAAGTTGGTCACGTATATTTGTTAATGACGGGACAACTTCCTTGATGGGCCGCGACGGGTTGCAGGAGGGTTTACGACACACAATTTACTCGGACCGGCAATTGCGAATCCCCGCTTGGCCCGCGGTCACGAAAGTATCACTAATGATTTTCGCGGGAATATTAACCACAATTGCACCGTGCGAAATATTGCGCGAATACTGTACCAGTACGAACAATTTATAGTTCGATTGTTTGATCTGGCTTCTAACAGCATGCCCCCCTTGTGTGTGTGTCCATGCCCCCTGTCTGTATGCCCATGCCCCCTGTGTGTGTGTCCATGCCCCCTGTCTGTGTGCGTGCCCATGCCCCCTGTGTGCGTGTCCATGCCCCCTATCTGTGTGCCCATGCCCCTGTGTGCGTGCCCATGCCCCCTGTCTGTGTGCCCATGCCCCTGTGTGTGCGTGCCCAATGTCCCCATGCACTTCACAGACCCTGCAACTGGAGAAACAACTGAACCCTGCTCGGCAGAGGTGGAGGTGAGGTCACAACTCCACCCACGCCCCCCCCGCAACCCCTCCCCCCACAGCAGAAATCTGCGGAATCTCCCGCACTTGAAATCCGGTGTTATGAACACAAACATGGACTCGTCCATTCCAGAAATCTGCGGTACCATGGCTAAGCGCACCTTACAACTCCTTGGTCCGAAGGGGGGTGCCAAGGTGCTTCCGCGGATTTCTTCCTATGTCTCCTATGAAGTGTGACCGCGCACCTGTGCGGGTGTGGGTGCGAGTCCGGTTCCGTGCGTTGGTTTGCCGTGACCTCGGCTCTGTGAGCCGGGTGATTATCTCTGGAATCCCAAGAATCTTTTTAAGTGTTTTGAGGTGGATCTGTCTGCTGTTCAAATGTGACGTCCTCTTCCTCGGGCTGTTGGTTAAGGTCAACGGGTCACAGGGTCAGGCCAAGGTTAGGGTCAGGGTGTGCGCTGGCGCGTGTAGAGGTGCGTACGCAGGAGGTCTTTGTACAGGTGTGTGCGTGTAGGTGTGTGTGTGGGGAGCAGTAGTGTAGCGGTTTGCGCGCTGCGCTACGAACCTGACGACCTGGGTTCGATTCCCGCTCAAGGCCAAAATCAGTGACGATTAACTGAACCGGTCCTGGGCCTCCCCTAGGTCGGCTCGGCCTCAAATGAGTACCTGGTGCAGTGTGTAAACATCACCACTAGGGAGACAAAGGTGGTCGGGCGTGGTGTTGGCCACCCATCCCGTCATGTGCCGTGCCGGCCTTCATAGGTGCTACTCGTTAACAGCACTTGCCCCTACAGTCTTTTAAGGCTATACGGGGGATCTTTGTCTTTTTTGTGGGGAGCTGTGGCGCAGTGGTTGGCGCACTGCACTACGAACCCCGGCGACCCGAGTTGGATTCCCACTCACGGCCACCAACGCCACTGACGATTTTCTGAACCGGTCTTGGGCCTTCCTTAGCTCGATTCTCAAATGAGTACCTGGTGCGGTGTGTAAAAATGTGACGGGAAAGACAAAGGCGGCCGGGCGTGGTGCTGGCCACCCACCCCTCGTGTGCCGTGCCGGCCTTCATAGGTGCTACTCGCCAACAGCACTTGCCCCTACAGTCTGTTCAGGCTACACGGGGGAATCTTTGCCTTTACAGGTGTGTACATCGCTGCTGCATACACGCCTCTGTGTACATATGTGCACACACAAGTGTGTGTACAGCACGCGGTTCTGTCCTCCTCCTAGATCCGCTCAGCCAGAACATTTTAGTGAGCGAGCAGTGTGGGCAGGCGGTGTGGGTGGTGTCCAGCGGAGCGGCCTTGGCTTTGTGCTTTGTCTCCGCGTTCTTCAGTCTCCATGGACCCACATTCCTCCTCCTGCTCCTCCTCCTCCTACCCCCTGCTCCTCCTCTTCCCCCTCCTCCTCCTCCTCTGTTTGCATGCAGGGACGGATTGATGGATGGAGGCAGGGTAGAGAGGGAGGGAATTGAAGGATGGAGGGAATTGAAGGATGGAGGGAATTGAAGGATGGAGGGAATTGAAGGATGGAGGGGGAAGGGAGAGGAGGAATGTAAGGAGGGCGGGAGGGAAGGATGGAGGGAAGGTGGAATGGAAGGAGGGAGGGAGGGCGGCATTGAGGGAGTGACTGTGGGAAGGCGCAAGGAAGCGGGTGAGCGAAGGAAGAGAAGTAGGGAGGCCGATTGAGCGATGGAGGAGGAGGGAGGGGGGCGTTGTGGTTGAAGGGGGCCCCTGCCGATTACCACGGCCCGCTGAGTGGGATCATCTCGGCTTTGCGCGGCACACAATGCTGCGGCGTCGCGGCGGTAAATATAGCCGCCGTGCGACCAGGCGTGGCGCGGGGAGAATGCGAGCGGCCTTGTTACGGCTGAGACTCGCCCGGCGGGGCCCGGCGCGGCCCGGCGGGGCCCCGTGCCACTGGTCTGGAGGAACGGGCGGGGAGGAGGAGGCGGCAGGGGACCCCACGGGTAGAGGGGGAGGGGTGATGGCTGTGTGACCACGTGGTCACGTGCGTACGAAAGTGTGTGTACGTACCTACGTGGGGGGGGGGGGGGGGGGGGGGGGAGCTGTGGCTGGTGCAGTGCTCGAACCGCTGTGCCAGTTGACCAAAGTTGGCGGATATCTGCACCAGTCCTGGGCCTTCCCGTTAGGTGAACTCGGCCTTAAACGAGTACCTGGTGCGTGTACGATCCAGTGCACCTCGCCTGGCACAAGCGCCGTGGTGACGTCACCACCACTTAGTGGCGAACGGCGGTTGTTGTTGTTGTCGTCGTACGAGCCAGCCTTCAACGAGCACCTCGCGTTTGGGTAAAGGTGCAGCCCTGCAATATTTCGCCCGCACCACTGCTAGCGGAAGGCGCCTCCTCCACCATTAGAGTACCGCCCCCCTCCTGAGGGTGTTTGGCCTACTCTTCCACCCGCTCCTACGATCGATCGATTGATCGATCCTCGCCAACGATTGTCGTCTCGTTCCCGCAGCCTCGTCCGCTCGCTCGATCGCTCGGCCAGAAATGTAGCGCGAGCATCTCATTTGCATCTCATTTGCATCTCATCTGCATCTCATTTGCACGAACGTCGCGCGCGACCGCGGACCTCCCACTGGCGCCGCGCGAAGAGACGCAGGTGTGCCTGGCGGGACGCAGGTGTGCGTGGCGGGATGCAGGTGTGCGTGCCGAGACGCTATTATTTTTGTTATCGCGCTTGCTGCAGCCGGGAAAGGCCCCGACCGAGTCTCCAGACTCTCGTTGTCAGGAGGGTCCTGCCCCCCCCCCCGCGCGCTCACGGTGGCGGAGCGACGGGCGCTGCCACCGCGCGTCTCCCAGTCGAGTCATTTTTTTATTCTTTTTAATTTAGTATTATTGTTTTGCTTGAGGCCAAATTCCTCCGAGTTGGGATGTCGGGACCGTGACTCCGGCAAACAAAGTGGCTCCCGCTGTTCTTGCAGAATGACTTCGCCGGCGTCTTGAGCATCCACTTCAAAGCGGGCGGCGCGTCGTGAAGAAATTAAGAAAGAAATCGACAAAAATCCATTTTCGTGCTTCGTGCACCGCACCACCGCAGTATGAACCTGGGCGGCTTGCCAGGGTCTAACCACGAACTTCTTCGGCAAACGCGCTACCGCTGTGCCCCCCGTCAACTTTGGGGTTGGGGGCGGTGGCAGGGTTTTGGGGGTTGTGGTTGCGTACGCGTGGTGCTGGCCACCCACCCCCTCGTGTGCCGTGTCAGCCTTCATAGGTGCTGCTCGCTAACAGCACTTGCCCCAACAGTCTGTACGAGGGGGGTCTTTGCTATGGTGCTGGCCGCCCCCCACCCCCTCGTGTGCCGCGCGTGCCTCGTGTGCGGTCTCCAGCCCAACGCAGCGACGTTGGCGGTGGCATCGGAGTGAAGCGTCATTGAGGAAATGAAACCCAGAACCCCTCCCCACTCACCTGTCTGCTCTACCTGTCCCCCCCCTCCTCCTCCTCCCAGCAATTCTTATACTCGGCCACACCTGTCCTCCACAGCTACCCCACTCTGCCCACACACCCCTCCCCCCGTCTCGTCCTTCTGCCAAGGGCTGCCACTAAACCCGGACATGTATATTCGGTCAGCGCTAGGTCCCTTGTCAACACTGTGCCAACTCCACCGGTGCCGGATCTGCCCGGGTGGAGGGCGCCATGATGGCGAGATGTTAACGACCTTGCTTGGTGTACAGGAGGGGTTGGGTTCGATCCTGACCCTGACGCCTGCTGCTTTGTATTTGGAGTTTGCGTGTCTCTCTCTCATCATCATCACGGTGGCTAGGAGATGTTAACTACCTCGCCTGGTATACAGGAGGGGTTGGGTTCGATCCTGACCCTGACGCCTGCTGCTGTATATTTCGAGTTTGCATGTCTCTCTCTCTCTCATCATCATCACGGTGGCTAAGAGATGTTAACTACCTCGCCTGGTATACGGGAGGGGTTGGGTTCGATCCCGACCCTGACGCCTGCTGCTTTGTATTTGGAGTTTGCGTGTCTCTCTCTCATCATCATCACGGTGGCTAGGACATGTCAACTACCTCGCCTGGTATACAGGAGGGGTTGGGTTCGATCCCGACCCTGACGCCTGCTGCTGTATATTTCGAGTTTGCGCGCTTGATGGGGTGCAACGCTTCACAAGTAGAGGGGGCACAGATGGAGATCTGTTCACAGTGGGGGGCCCGGGAAGGGTCACAGTCGGGGCCCTGTAGAAACGCAGTCGGGGACCCTGTAGGGTCACAGTGGGGGTCCTGTGAAGTGGACCGTGTCCAGATCGCGTTGCGTCCGGGTTTGTATTTCGATGAAATGAACGCCGTTGGTTTCTCAACGTTGGTGGCACGGAGTCAGAGGAGTCGGAGGTGAATGGGTCCCTGTGTTGTGGCCGGAGGTCACTGCCGCCACCGGCCTCGCCAGCCCCACTAATCGGATCCGTGCAGGCCGCTCGCTCCGCTAATTGAGGCTTAATTGGCTGAGCCGCGCCAGGATCGGCGTTGGGAGCGGCCGCGCGCGAGCGGGTGCACGCGCGCGTGTGTGTGAGTGCGCACGCGTGTGTGTGAGTGCGCACGCGTGTGTGTGTGAGTGCGCGCACACATGTGTGTGTGAGTGCGCGCATGCGTGTGTGTGTGTGTGTATGTGAGTGCGCGCGCGTGTGTGTGTGAGTGTGTGTGAGTGCGCGTGTGTGTGTGTTTGTTAGTGCACGTGTGTCCATGCGTGTGCGTGCGTGAGTGAGTCGATGAGTGTGTGTGTGGAGCGGTAGCATAGCGGTTAGCACGCTGCGCTACGAGCCCAGTGACCAGAATTCGATCCCCGCTCACGGCCAACACCAGTGATGGTCATCTGAACCGTTACCGGGCCTCCCCTCGGTCGACTCGGCCTCAAATGAGTACCTGGTGCAGTGGTGTGTAAACATCGCCACTAGGGCGACAAAGGCGGCCGGGCGCGGTGCCGGCCGAACAGCACTTGCCCCAACCGTCTGTTAATGTTATACGGGGGATCTTTGTCTTGTGTGTGTGCGTGCGGTCGTGAGAAATGACTCTGTAATTTGACACCTGACCTGTGTGGATTACACGGGCGCGCTCGAGCCGACGAGACGTTCCAGCGCCGCGTGGTGATGGTTGTCCACCCCCTCGTGCGCCGTGCCGGCCTTCGTCAGTGCTACTCGCTAACAGCACTTGCCCCAACGGTGTGTGAAAGGCTATGCTGGGGTGGGGGCGTCTTTATCTTTGTGCGAGTGCGACGAGGTAATGTAGCGGTTAGCGCACTGAACTACGGACCCCCGTGACCCAAGTTCGAATCTCGCCCACGGACACCAACATCGGTGATGATTATCGGAACCAGGCCCGGGCCTCCCCTAGGTCGACTCAGCCTCAAATGAGTACCTGGTGCGGTATGTAATCATCGCCACTAGGGGAGACAAAGGCTGCCAGGCGTGGTGCTGGCCACCCACCCCCAAGTGTGCTGTGGCGGCCTTCATAGGTGCTACTCGCCCCAACAGTCTGTTTAAATCATATAGGGGGGGGGGGGGGGGGGGGTGCGTGCCAGTGTGTGTGTGTGCGTGCCAGTGTGTGCCAGTGTGTGTGTGTGCGTGCCAGTGTGTGTGTGTGTGTGTGCGTGCCGGTGTGTGTGTGTGTGTGTGTGCGTGCCGGTGTGTGTGTGCGTGCCGGTGTGTGTGTGTGTGTGTGCGTGCCGGTGTGTGTGTGTGTGCGTGCCGGTGTGTGTGTGTGTGTGCGTGCCGGTGTGTGTGTGTGTGCGTGCGTGCGTGCGTGCCGGTGTGTGTGTGTGTGCGTGCGTGCGTGCCGGTGTGTGTGTGTGTGCGTGCGTGCGTGCCGGTTTGTGTGTGTGTGCGTGCGTGCGTGCCGGTGTGTGTGTGTGTGCGTGCGTGCCGGTGTGTGTGTGTGTGCGTGCGTGCCGGTGTGTGTGTGTGCGTGCGTGCCGGTGTGTGTGTGTGCGTGCGTGCCGGTGTGTGTGTGTGTGCGTGCGTGCCGGTGTGTGTGTGTGTGCATGTGTGCGAGTCTTCTTGCAGCTGTTGTGAATTAACAAACAGACGAAAAATCTGATTCTAGAAATTCCTCGACGATTATCAAACACCACGTCAAGGTGGTGCAGTGGTCGGGGCACTGTTCTTCGAACCCGGCGGCCTAAGTTGGATTCACCGGCCAGGGCCACCAATCTGTGGCAAGCGTCCAAAACTCGTGCCTTGCCACCCGTAAAGTGGCACACTCAGTCCTCCCAAGTGTTTTGCGACATCTGATTGATGGTACGTATTAATTCGTAGCAATTAGCGTCGTGTATATGTCATGAAATCGTAGCAGTTATTCATTGATATATATTACTTTCCTGGAATGCAAAACCATCAATAGCGTCGTTGTGGAGCATATATGTGACAAAATAAATAAGTAGATAATACATCTCCTTCGCGTATTTATCGCTCCACGTGTTAAAAAAAAAACGTTTAAGTAGTTCTTACACAACCCATGGCCTTCTTGAAGTGCATAATGTCAGCAGCTTGGATTTCTCGATGGCAAGAAAACCCACGGTGGGGGCCCTGGAGGGTCACCAAGAGTCTGTTGAGGCTTTACGAGGGATCTTTGTATTGCGTGTGCACGTGCACGCGTTCGTGTGGGTGCGTGTGCACGTGTGCGTGACTGCGTGCGAGGAGCAGTAGCGTACTGGTTAGCGCGCCGCGCTACAAACCCGGCGACCCGAGTTCGATTCCCGCTCGTGTCCAAACACACATTTGAACCGGTACCAGGCCTCCCCTAGGTCGACTCGGCCTCATGAGTACCTAGTAGCGGTGTGTAAAACACCATCGGCGCGGGGGCAAAGGCGGTGCGGGTGCGGTGCCGCCCAACTCACCCCCCTCGCGTGCCGTGCCGGCCTCCGTAGGCTGCCGCTACTCGCTAGCAGCGCTTGCCGTCAAGACTACGCGGGGTGGGACCTTTGTCGTCGTACGCAGGTGGTGCGCTCGCTGGGCTTCGTCATCTACAAGGCCCTGGATTGGGGCCTGGATGAAAACGAGGAGCGTGAGCTGAGCCAGCCGCTGGAGGAGCTCATCGACTGGATGACCAGCCTGGAGGACGCGGCGGCCACGGACGACGAGGGCGGGGGAGGTGCGTTGCGCGACGAGGGCTACGACGGGCCAGACGAGGACGAGGAGGCCGGCGCCGGCAACGCCACCACCACCGCCGGCACCGGCACCGCCGCCGGCACCACCGCCGCTGACGGCGGTAGCGGAGTGAGCCGTCCGGAAGGGCCGTTCCAGTCCGTCATAAAGGTGAGTTCGAGGCTCGCTGCTGGACAAGAGAGGGGCGGGTTTGCACATCGCGACAGAGATTTCCTGCCCTGCCCCCCCCCCCCTTCTTTGGCATCGAGATGGTGCACACCTTGAGCTGCTTTGGGTGGCAAAGGTTTGGGGGGCAAGTCGCTGACCCGCCCCATACTGGACATCGGTGAAAAAGAACTTCATAGCTTTGTAACTCATCGGATTCCTCCAGTCCAGATTCTGATTGTGAACTGTCAAGAGACTGGGGATTTGCAAGGGTGAGCGAATGGGTGAGTGGGTGGGTGTGTGGGTGAATAAATGAGTGAGTGAGTGAGTGGGAAAGTGATATGACGAATGAGTAGGCGAGTGAGATGGTGAATGAATGTGTGAATTAATTAGTGTGTGAGTGAATGGGTTTGTGCGAGGGAGTTAAAATTTATTTTGTTGACGGAGGTGAGAACTCTCCTGGATGAGTCTCAGTCTGCAAGAGTTGGTGAATGGGTGAGTGAGTGGGTGGGTGAATGAGTGAGTGGGTTAGTCAGATGATGAATGAGTGAGTGAGTCAGCTGGTGAGTTAGATGATGAGTGAATGAGTGCATGAATGAGTGTGAGCGAGTGAGCTTATTTTGTTGAACGAGAAACCGGCATCGAGTGAATGAGCGAGCGAGATGGTGAATAAGTGGGCGAGTCACATGGTGAATGAATGAGCGATTGGTTTTCTCGCAGCGGGGCGCGTGTTTTCCTGCTGCGGGCAACTGTTCCCCTGGCGTTGGAAGAACCTGGGCTTTGGTCCAATCGGCTCCAATTCAGTCCGCTTTTGGCTCTTAAATGTGCCGGCTCTTACGTCCGTTGGAGCTTTTGTGCAGTGTGCTTTGGCAAGTGCGTGAGATTTGTTGTGTTTACACTGCTCGGGCTCGGGAGAGAAAACAGGAAAACAGGATGCGTTGTGTTCATTCTGTGGGCGGGGGGTGGCGTGGGGTAATGGAACTCTGATGATTCTCGGTGCATTACCCACGCAGCACAACAACAACAACAGCCGCCATTCACCAGTAAGTGGGGGTGATGTCACCGCAGCACTTGTGCCAGGCCATGTGCACCTGAGAATATCACGTGAAGTGTGGACTGTTCACTGTTGCCAGGAGGTCACGGGACAGACCCAGATGTTTTGAGTTGACTGCTGTGCCAGGTTAGGTGCAGGAGGTCACGGGACAGACCCAGACACCATGGGTTGTTTGACTGGCAGATGCATCCACCTGCACTCCCACCCACTGTGCATTTTAGCCGCCCGCCGCTCCACTCGTTGTTGCGAGCGTCGATCCCCTGCCCAGTGGTTAGCACAGTGCACTCGCCGCTGGGCCACCACTCTCCACGCACGCACACACCCACACACACACCCACACACCCACCCACAACCACTCTTTCAACAACCACAGCAACTGCAGCTAAGTGGTGGTGATGTCACTGTGGTGTCTGTGCCAGGACGGGCGCTGGTAAAGAAAAGGGCAGGCGGTGTTTTAGTGGCAATGAATGAACACGCACGCACGCACGCACTCACGCACGCACAGCGTGATATGTTCATACGTACACAGACACCGATCCCCCACATGTCTTACGCAGGTGGTGCGGTGATTAAGGTCACAGCGCTGCGAGCCCAGTGACCAGAGTTCATTTCCCACTCGCGACCAACATCGGTGATGGATATCTGAACCGGTCCTATGCCTCCTCTAGGTCGACTCGGCCTTAAACGAGTGCCTGATGCATTGTGTAAAACATGAGGACTGGGGAGACAACGGTGGTGCTGACCACCGTGCCGGCCCTTGTAGTTGCTTGCTAACAGCACTTGCTCCAACAGTCTGCATAGGCTACACGGGGGATCTTTGTCTGTGTGTGTGTATAAATATATATGCTCTGGGGAGAGAGATAAAGGTGGCTGGGTGTGGTCCTGACCACATCACCCCCTCGTGTGCCATGCTGGCCTTCATAGATGGCCACTGCATACGCCTGCTTTCAGATGCGTTTCTACGGCTGTCTGGCATGCTCTTCCTTCCGAAAAATTCGGAAGCCATTGGAGCTATACACTTTGAAATTTAAATTGAAAGTTCATTTCGTTTTGTGTTTAGTTCATTGTCCTTCCCCCACGCCTCCGATTATCACGGTTGGCTACGTGCGGTGCGAAATAGTTTAAATATACATTGGTGCTCGCTAACAGCACTTGCCCCAACGGTGTGATAAGGCTACAGGGGGGATCTTTGTGTGAGTGTGTGCGTGAGCGGTGGTGTAGCGGTTAGCGCTACGCTGCGCTTCAAACCCAACGACCTGATTTCGATTACCGCTCACGGCCAACATCGGTGACGATTATCTGAACCGGTCCTGGGCCTCCCCTAGATCGACTCGGTCTCAAATGAGTACCTTGTGTTGTGTGTAAACATCGCCACCAGGGAGACAAAGGCGGCCGGGCGTGGTGCTGGCCACCCACCCCCTAGTGTCCCATTCCAGCCGTCATAGGTGCTCACTAACATCACTTGCCCCAACAGTTTGTTCAGGCTATAGAGGGGATCTTTGTTTTTGTCTTTGTGGTAGATGTGCACGTCACACCTGAGGACGACTCGTGAAGCCCCGTCGCACTACCAGGCCGTGTGCCGCGCGCTCTACGCCGAGGCCATGGAGCTGCGCACCTTCCTCGAGAAGATCCAGAGCGCCAAGGAGGTGCTCGCCTGCTCGCTCACTCACTCAGACGCTCGCTCACTCGCTCACACACACGCTCACTCACTCGCCCACACGCTTGTTCGCTCATTCGCTCGCTCACTCGTTCACTCACACACGCGCTTACTCGTTCACCCACAGGCTCACTCAGATGCTCGCTCGCTCACTCACACACACACACGCTAACTCACTCGCCCACACGCTTGTTTGCTCATTCGCTCGCTCACTCATTCACTCACACACGCGCTTACTCGTTCACCCACAGGCTCACTCAGACGCTCGCTCGCTCGCTCACACACACGCTAACTCACTCGCCCACACGCTTGTTTGCTCATTCGCTCGCTCACTCATTGACTCACACACGCGCTTACTCGTTCACCCACAGGCTCACTCAGACGCTCGCTCGCTCGCTCACACACACGCTAACTCACTCACCCACACGCTTGTTCGCTCATTCGCTCGCTCACTCGCTCACTCGTTCACTCATCCACACGCTCACTCGCTCACCCACTGGGACACTCAGACGCTCGCTCGCTCACACACACGCTAACTCACTCGCCCACACGCTTGTTCGCTCATTCGCTTGCTCGCTCACTCGTTCACTCGCACACACGCTCACTCGCTCATCCACTGGCTCACTCACCCACTCGGACACTCAGACGCTCGCTCGCTCACACACACGCTAACTCACTCGCCCACACGCTTGTTCGCTCATTCGCTCGCTCACTCGTTCACTCACACACACACTCACTCGTTCACCCACTGGCTCACTCAGACGCTCGCTCGCTCACACACACACTCACGCTTACTCGTCCACATGCTCGCTACCTCACACGCTCGTTCACTCACACACACGCATGCTTACTCGCTCACCCACTCTCTCACTCAGACACTCGCTCGCTATCACGCTCACTCACTCGTATGCGCACGCATGCTGACTCACCCACTCACTTGCTCACTTACTCATTCGCTCAGTCTCTCGCTCGCACACACACACGCTCACCTACTCGCTCGCTCGCTCACTCGCTCACTCACTCACTCACATACGCGTTCACTCATATACACGCTCACTCACACACTGACATACACGCATGCTTACTCGCCCACTCACTCACGTGCTTACTTACTCACTCACTCACTCGCCTTTAAAAGACTGTTGGGCCAAGTGCTTACACACACAATTAACCCACTCAAAGACGAAGACTCACAACAACAACAACAACCGTTATTCACCGCTAAGTGGCGGGGACATCACAGCAGAGCTTTGTGCCAGGCTAGGTGCACGCACTCGCGCACGCACAAAGAAAAAGATCCTAGCGGCGATAATTACAAACATTGCACCAGATACTCGTTTGAGGCCGAGTCGACCTAGGGGACTCAGCCTCACTCACGCACACAAAGACAAAGATCCACCGTATAGTCTTAGACTCTTGGGGTAAGTGCTGTTAGCGAATAGCAGCACCTACGAAGGCCGGCACGGCACACAAGGGGGTGGGTGGCCAGCACCACGCCTGGCCGCCTTTGTCTCCCCAGTGGCGATGTTCACACACAGCCAAGGAGACAGATTCGGATAATTGTCACTGGTTTTGGCCGTGAGCGGGAATTGAACTCGGACTGCTAGGTTCGAAGCGCAGCGCGCTAGCCACTAAACTACCACTCCCTGCACAAAGGCAAAGATGTCCCGGTATAGCCTTAACAGGCTTTTAGGGGCAAGTGTGTGTTCGCGAGCACATACACACACTCACTCGCTCACTCACGTACAAAGACAGATCTCCGTATTGCCTAAACAGACTGTTGTGGCAAGTGCTGTTCGCGAGCACCTATAAATGCTGGCACGGCACACGAGGGGGTGGGTTGCCACATACACAGACACGCGCGCGTGTGTGTGCGGGCTATTGACCAGCGATCGAGACATTCCGGCATTGGGAACGCGAGCCCAGTGTCTGTCCTGACAAAGGCCTGGCTCCGCACAGTCGTAATGGGAATCTTGGCAGGGCGGCTCGCGTTCATTATCACGTCGGCTCTTGAAAAACACGATAACGAGCACAGCGTGCTAATGAGCGCATGTGCGAGTGCGTGAGAGAATGTGTGCGTCGGTGCGTGTGTAGTGTGTGTGTGAACACACAGCATGTACGGACTGTCAGCGTGTGTTTGTGTTGTAGCTGAGCGGTGGCTCAGCGGTCACCGCGCTGTGCTACGAACCTGGCAACCCGACTTCGGTTTCCGCTCATGGCCACCAACGCCGGTGACGATTATCTGAACCGGTCCCGGGCCTCTCCTCGGTTGACTCGGCTTCAAACGAGTACCTGGTGCGGCGTGTAAACATCGCGGTGCTGGCCACCCACCTCGTGTGCCGTGCCTGCCTTCATCGGTGCTCGCTAACAGCACTTTCCCCAAAGGTCCGTTGAGGCTAAACCAGGTACTCGTTTGAGGCTGAGTCGACCTAGGGGGGAGGTTTGGCCACCACACACACACGCATGAACACCTTCACACGCACGCACACCGGAGCGTGGCGGTAGATCTCGCTGCATCCGCGTGCCGTGTGCCGGGAGACGCCTCTCCGCGCCCGCCCGTCGCCGTGTTTGTTTTGGCGGCCGCGCGACGTGACGGCGTCGTGGGAAGGGATTCACCGTCCATCAAGATGCCACCGTGGACAAAGCCACCGATGCCACCGCCGATGCCACCGTCTCGCCGCATCTCATCAGCGCTATCCACCGCTCGCTGCCATCCACCAAATCCCTGCGCGGTGGAAGCAGCGACTTCCACGGTCTGACCCCGGCAGTCTCCCGGCACGTGGTCTTAGATAGACTCACTCGGAGAGCCACAGACTCGCTACAGAGAGCCACATACTTAGACTCGCTCGGAGAGCCACATACTCACTCGGAGACTCGTACAGAGACCCACAGACCCCCACAGAGACCCAAAGAGACCCACAGACTTACGCAGAGACCCACAGATTCAGAGTCCCACAAACTCACACAGAGACCCAAAGACACCCCGTCCCACCGCCCCATCCTGCACACGCGTCCCGCCCAGCGCAACCGTTTTGGCTGATCACATCCACAACATTCGGCATCCCTAGCCCACGTCGTTCTCTCTCCCCGACGTCTCTCTCTCTCCCCGACGTCTCTCTCTCTCTCCCTCTCCTGTCTTCTTGCCACGGGAATCCCCCCCGATACCTGCGCTCGAATCCCAGCGGTTTCTTTCGGAGCGGCACGCGGCCCGTGGCCTGTGGGGGAGGGGGAGGTGGGGGGGTTTCCAGCCTTCATGCATGACGAGGGAGGGCGGCCGTCGTGTTTGTTTTTGAAAGGAGGTCCCGAGTAACCGACCACAACGTGGTCGTGGTGGGCACTTTACGATTTTGAACGACCAGCCGTGAGCTCCGAGGAATCGTTCCCCCGCCCGCCCCCTCCCCCCGCCCGCCCCAAGCTGTCCTGTACTTCTATGCTCCCGCCTCTTGTGTTCCCCTTGCCGCCAACCACCGGGGGCAGGATGCCTGCTGTGCCGCCCGACGCGACGCTTTGTTTGTTGAACTTCTTGCGCGCCGGACGTAGCCGACCGTGTTAATCGGACGTGCGCGGGGGGAAGGACAACAAACCAAACACAAAACTAATTTCTAAAGAAATTCGTGTTAAATCTAGACGATTTAAAAGGTCGTATATCCAGTGGCTTTCTAATATGGGAAGGAAGAGCGTTCCAGACGGCCGCAGAGGCGCATCTGAACGTGCCGCGCGATGCGGGTGACCGTCTTTGTTCGATTGCTGAGCCAATTGCCGCTGCTGCTGCCGCTGCTGCTGCTGCTGCTGCTGCTGCTGCTGCCGCTGCTGCTGCTGCTGCTACTGCTGCTGCTACTGCTGCTGCCGCTGCTGCTGCTGCTGCTACTGCTGCTGCCGCTGCTGCTGCTGCTGCTGCTGCTACTGCTGCTGCTGCTGTTGCTGCTGCTGCTGCTGTTGCTGCTGCCGCTGCCGCTGCCGCTGCTGCTACTGCTGCTGCTACTGCTGCTACTGCTGCTGCTGCTACTGCCGCTGCTGCTGCTGCTACTGCTGCTGACACTGCTACTGCTGCTGTTGCTGCTGCTGCTATTGCTGCTGCTGCTACTGCTGCCGCTGCTACTGCTGCTGCTGCTACTGCTGCTGACACTGCTACTGCTGCTGCCGCTGCTGCTGCTGCTGCTGCTGCTGCTGCCGCTGCCGCTGCTGCTACTGCTGCTGCTGCTACTGCTGCTGCTGCCGCTGCTGCTGCCGCCGCTGCTGCTGCTGCTGCTGCTGCTGCTACTGCTGCTGCTACTGCTGCTGCTGCTGCCGCTGCTGCTGCCGCTGCTGCCACTGCCGCTGCTGCTGCGAGGATTTCCGGTGGCGTTGTTGACGCCGCCGCCTCTCCCACTCCCCCCGCAGGCGCTGAAGAAGATGCAGGGCGGTGGTGGCGGCGGCGGCGACGGAAATCAAGCGTCGCCCAACTCCTTCGAGCTCAACGAGCTGCAGCACCTGGACTGGGTGAGAGGCTCGCCGCTAGGGGTCGTCAAGGGGTGGGGGGAGGGGGTTGCGGGGGGGGGGGGTCACGTGGTAGTTAAAGCCGTGGGGTCGTAGTCGGGGCCGTAGTGGAGTTGTGGAATCCCTGAGCCGGCTCGGGGTTTGACCTCGGCCGTGGATTAACACAGCGTCGGGGTTCCACTGCCAGCGGCTCTTCGCTCGACCCCAATCGCCCACGACCTCCAGGACCCCCCTCACCAACCCCACCTTTGACCCCTGAACCCCATGTGCCCTCCTTTAACCGTGTAACCCCCCCCTCCCCGACCCCCACGTGCCACCCTCTGTGATCCCCGACCCCCACGTGCCTTCCCTTCTAACCCAGGTGTGCAGCCCCCCCCTCTGACACTCTCCCCCCACCAAGTAACCCCCTCTGACCTCCATGTGCCCCCTCCACCACGTGCTGACCCCTGACCCCCGGTTTGCCACCCCCTCCCACCCCCCCCGGCCCCCTCCCGTAGGCGCGCCTGTGGGGCCCGGTGATGCGCGAGCTCCGTCACGGCGTGAAGCTCAAAAAGGTGGCGGCCATGCGTCCCTACAGCGGCCTGCCCATCGAGTTCCAGTTCACGCCCTACGAGATGCTCATGGACGACATCCGCGCCAAGCGATACAACCTGCGCAAGGTCATGGTAGGGGACATGGTACGGCCTAACTACCCCATCCATCCACCACTCCAATTACCTCCCCCGCCCCCCGCCCGCCCACCATGGCGAGGGTGGAATGGTATGGCCCGATTACCCCATTCATCCATCCATTCCTGCATTGCTGCCGGGGGGGATCGATAAAATGGTACGGGCCAACTACTCCATCTTTTTACCTCCCGGGGAAGAAAATGGTGTGGCCCGTTTAACTTCATCTGTCCATTCCTACATGAGCGGGGAGGAAGGTGGACAATAACGGTACGGCCGGACTACCACATTTGACTGTCCACCCACCCCCTCGCCTGGCTGAGTTAATTCACCCGTCTCCCTCGTTTCAGTGAAGCGATAGAGCCCAGAGGCATTGCAATAAACTTAACGGTTTCTTGATGACCTCATGACGCGTGGCGTCACACGCGTCATCTCGCTGCGCATCTTGGAACGTAACGTGACACCGCTGCACGGCTGATTTTAAGGCACCGGATCGTCGCCATCGTCGTCGCCACCCCCACCACCACCACCACAACCATCATTGTCGTTTGTTTTTCACACCGCGCCTCCCGTACGGTACGTCTCGGCCGATCCCGCAGCGTGTGCATGGTTCTACTTTTGCTTATTGCTCCGTGCGCTCACCGTGTGTGCCCCCCCCCCCCCCCCCCCCCCCGCTATTCCCTCCCCCTCCCCACGTCCTTGCCGTCACCACCGTCAGGTGAACGGAGACATCCCCCAACGGGTGCGGAAGAGCGCGCACGACGTCATCCTGGAGTTCATCCGCTCGAGGCCGCCACTTAACCCCGTGAGTTGGCCCTCCGTGTGTTTACGTGAGTGTTGAACTGCTGTCGCACCGCGGGCTAATCGGAGGTGCGGAGGGGGAAGGACAACAAACTAAAGGTTCTGACCCCACCTCCCACCTCTGACTCTCCCTCCCCGCAGCAACCTTGTCTGTACACTGGTGTACACACACTAGCGCGTACACCAGTGTGTGTGTCTTTAAACTGGTGTACACACACTAGCGCGGACACTACTGTGTGCAGACACACACACTAGTGTACACGCTAGTGTGTGTGTCTGTACACCAGCGCTATGAACCCCGTGAACCGGGTCCGATTCCTGCTCACGGCCAACACCAGTGACGATTGTTCAAACCGGTCCTGGGCCTCCCCTAGGTCGACTCGGCCTCAAATGAGTACCTGGTGCTGTGTGTAAAAATCGTACTCTTAGGCTTTTTCGGTAAAGTCACGTAAGTAAAAAATAAAAATAAAATTAATAGAAGTAATAATAGAAATAAAATAATAAATCACGACGTTTTGGAGGCAACACAAGCTTCCGTCTTCAGGTGGAACCGTCACAGCACGATTGCTGTATCAAGTAAAGTCATCGGGAATTCCTCCAGCGTCACTTGATACAGCAATTGTGCTGTGACGGTTCCACCTGAAGACGACGGAGACTTGTGTTGCCTCCGAAACGTCGTGATTTATTATTGTATTTCTATTATTACTTCTATTAATTTCATTTTTTACCTACGTGACTTTACCGAAAAAGCCTAAGAGTATGAATCCTTGCAGTCACGAAAGCTTCAAATCTAGAATGTAAACATCATCACTAGGGAGACAAAGGCGGCCGAGCGTGGTGCTGGCCACCCATCCCCTCGTAGGTGTTCGCGAACAGCACTTGCCCCAAGAAAATATTAAGGCTTTGCGGGGGATCTTTGTCTTTTTTTGTGCTCGTAGGTCGCGTTCCGGAAGCTCCGCGAGACCCCGGAGCGACCCCGCAGTCTCCACGAGCAGATGCTCGACGAGATCCGCATGGACCGCAAGCTGCGGCCCGTCTCGCCCGTCCTGCCTCAGCCCTGCCGGACCGGTGCGTGCGCTCACCACTCGCTTACTACTCGCTTACTACTCGCTTACTACTCGCTTACTACTCGCTTACTACTCGCTCACCGCTCACTCGCTTGATCACCACTCGCTCACCACTCGCTCACCACTCGCTCACCACTCGCTCACCACTCGCTCACCACTCGCTTACTACTCTCTCAATCGCTCACTCACCACTCGCTCGCTCGATCACCACTCGCTTACTACTCGCTCGCTCACCACTCGCTCGCTCACCAATCACTCGCTCACCGCTCGCTCACCACTCGCTTACCACTCGCTCACCGCTCGCTCACCACTCGCTTACTACTCTCTCACTCGCTCACCACTCGCTCACCACTCGCTCACCACTCACTTACTACTCTCTCACTCGCTCGCTCACCAATCACTCGCTCACCACTCGCTCACCGCTCGCTCACCACTCGCTCACCGCTCGCTCACCACTCGCTCACCACTCGCTCACTGCTCGCTCACTACTCGCTCACCGCTCGCCATCCTCACAATCCCTCTGCGCCCGCCTCCCATCCCACGCGTCTTCGTTTTACTTTCACGACTTTGTTGTCATCCTTGGTTCTATTTTTTGTCCCTGCGTGTCCTTGTGTGTGTGCGCGTGTGTGTGTGCGCGTGTGTGTGTGCGTGTGTGTGCGTGTGCGTACGTACGTGTGTGACCCGGTACCCCCCTGCCCCCTCCCCAGCCCTGAGACCGCTTAGCATGTCACAGAGCTTTGACCTGGCAGGTACAGTACCAGCTGACCCCCCTCCCCCCGCCACGTGACCCCGTCGTCACGGGCCGGCCCGCTTGCTCGCTCCCTCGCTTTGCTCTCTCCCCACATGCACGCCCGCCCGCGAGCTCTCCGCTTGCGCCGACGCAATTGTGATTGTGTGCGCCCTCCGAATACCGGTTCTCTCCTTGAAAGCCACAAATAAATAGATAAATACTACTGTATTTATCTATTTATTTGTCAATCCACTGCTGGATGAAGGTCCCGCCCCCGCCGCCATGACGGACGCCTTGTCGGGTCCTAGGGGGTTGTTCAGGCTTACTTCGCCACGCTGGTCGGCGCGGGGTTGCTGAAGGCGGTGAGGTCGGGTTGCCAGCCGTTGTAACCCAGGTCTGGTACCGGTCTGGCTGAGTTGAGCTTCGATTTAAAGCTTTCGTGACTGCAAGGATTCATCTTCTTGGTTTTTTCGGTAAAGTAACATAGAAGGGAAGTAATAAAATAATAAAAATAAAACATGATAAAATAATTCTCACGACGTTTCGGCCACAACGCAAGCAGCCGTCCTCAGGTGAAGACCAGGTCTGTCGAGGCGACAGCGTCTGAATGACAGACCTGGTCTTCACCTGAGGACGGCTGCTTGCGTTGTGGCCGAAACGTCGTAAGAATTATTTTATTATGTTTTATTTTTATTATTTTATTACTTCCCTTCTACGTTACTTTACCGAAAGAACCAAGAAGATGAGTTGAGCTTCACTGCCGTGACGGCGCGATGAGGAGGAGGAGGAGGAGGAGGGGAGGCCCAGCGCTGAGTTAGAGGAGGTTCTGAATTCCCGTGGTGAAACAAATCTTCAGGGAAACCAATATTCGCCTGGCTTCCGTGTGTGTCGGCATGGCCGTGTCTTACCTCGCTACTGTCCGTGTCTGTGCCTCGCTACTGTCCGTGTCTGTGCCTCGCTACTGTCTGTGTCTGTGCCTCGCTACTGTCCGTGTCTGTGCCTCGCTACTTTACGTGTCTGTGCCTCGCTACTGTCCGTGTCTGTGCCTCGCCACTGTCCGTGTCTGTGCCTCGCTACTGTCCGTGTCTGTGCCTCGCTACTGTCCGTGTCTGTGCCTCGTCACTGTCCGTGTCTGTGCCTCGCTACTGTCCGTGTCTGTGCCTCGCTACTGTCCGTGTCTGTGCCTCGCTACTGTCCGTGTCTGTGCCTCGCTACTGTCCGTGTCTGTGCCTCGCCACTTTACGTGTCTGTGCCTCGCCACTGTCCGTGTCTGTGCCTCGCCACTGTACGTGTCTGTGCCTCGCCACTGTACGTGTCTGTGCCTCGTCACTGTCCGTGTCTGTGCCTCGCCACTGTCCGTGTCTGTGCCTCGCCACTGTCCGTGTCTGTGCCTCGCCACTGTACGTGTCTGTGCCTCGCCACTGTACGTGTCTGTGCCTCGCCACTGTACGTGTCTGTGCCTCGCCACTGTACGTGTCTGTGCCTCGCTACTGTACATGTCTGTGCCTCGTCACTGTACGTGTCTGTGCCTCGTCACTGTACGTGTCTGTGCCTCGTCACTGTACGTGTCTTTGCCTCGTCACTGTATGTGTCTGTGCCTCGCTACTGTCCGTGTCTGTGCCTCGCTACTGTCCGTGTCTGTGCCTCGCTACTTTACGTGTCTGTGCCTCGTCACTGTCCGTGTCTGTGCCTCGCCACTGTCCGTGTCTGTGCCTCGCTACTGTCTGTGTCTGTGCCTCGCTACTGTCCGTGTCTGTGCCTCGCTACTGTCCGTGTCTGTGCCTCGCTACTTTACGTGTCTGTGCCTCGTCACTGTCCGTGTCTGTGCCTCGCTACTGTCCGTGTCTGTGCCTCGCCACTGTACGTGTCTGTGCCTCGTCACTGTCCGTGTCTGTGCCTCCCCACTGTCCGTGTCTGTGCCTCACCACTGTCCGTGTCTGTGCCTCGCCACTGTCCGTGTCTGTGCCTCCCCACTGTCCGTGTCTGTGCCTCGCCACTGTCCGTGTCTGTGCCTCGCCACTGTACGTGTCTGTGCCTCGCCACTGTACGTGTCTGTGCCTCGCCACTGTACGTGTCTGTGCCTCGCTACTTTACATGTCTGTGCCTCGTCACTGTACGTGTCTGTGCCTTGTCACTGTACGTGTCTTTGCCTCGTCACTGTATGTGTCTGTGCCTCGCTACTGTCCGTGTCTGTGCCTCGCTACTGTCCGTGTCTGTGCCTCGCCACTGTACGTGTCTGTGCCTCGCTACTGTCCGTGTCTGTGCCTCGTCACTGTCCGTGTCTGTGCCTCGTCACTGTCCGTGTCTGTGCCTCGCTACTGTCCGTGTCTGTGCCTCATCACTGTACGTGTCTGTGCCTCATCACTGTACGTGTCTGTGCCTCGCTACTGTACGTGTCTGTGCCTCGCCACTGTCCGTGTCTGTGCCTCGCTACTGTACGTGTCTGTGCGTGTGGGACAGTTGGCAGGGGAGCCGTCACGGCCGCGGGACGTCCAGGCCAGACCTTGGCGCTACAAGGCCCAGATCTGCCGGCCGAGCCTGCAGTTTCCCTGTGCCGTGACCATCCCGCGCGCTCCCCCCCCCACCACCATCCCACCATCCCACGCCATCCGTCGCTTCTCAGCCGCTGCTTCTGTGCCGTCGTGGTGGTGCCGCTGTGTTGCCGGTGTGGCCGTAGTGGTGGTGCCGCTGCGTTGCCATAGTGATGTTACCATAGTGGTGTTGCCATAGTGATGTTACCGCGGGTGGTGTTACCGTATTGGTGTTGCTGTAATAGTGTTGGTGCGTGGTGGGTGTGTTTGTGTGTGGGTGTGTTTGTGTGGGTGTGTTTGTGTGTGTGTGTGTGTTTGTGTGTGTGGGTGCGTGTGTGTGGGTGTGTGGGTGTGGGTGTGCGTGTGTTTGTGTGTGTGCGTGCCGTGGTCAGACATCGACACTCCGGACGGGCGCCGCGTCCGCAAGAAGAAGCTGCTGAAGGCGCCAACGCTGGCGGAGATGGAGGCAGAGTTCGAGGTGCGGTGGTACCGGCAGCACCAGCAACACCACCACCAAAAGCACCACCAGTACCAGCACCAGTACCAGCACCACCACCACCAGCAGCATGAGTTGGTTGCCAGTCTGTGTGCTTTGGTGAGCGCTGGGACTGTGTGCGTGCATGTGCGTGCGTGTGCCTGTGTGTGTTTGCATGTGCGTGCGTGCAGGAGGAGCAGGAGGAGGGCAACCTCGGCGACGCCGGGACACTCGACTACCTGGGCGACATGTCGCCTTTCCTGCGCGACGCAGGGCCCCGGGGTGAGCACCACCGCGGCGCCAGCTCGTGTGTGTGTGTGTGCGTGCGTGAGGCCACAACCATGCCGGGTCGTGGTGGGGGGTGTTGGAGGTGGGCTTGGGGGGGAAGGAGGCCCGGGGTCTTGACTGGGGCGGCCGCCAAACCAACACGCGGCCGCGGTATAAAACATTGGGATCCCCCCCCCCCACCTCACCCGCTCTCCCCCCCCGTCCCTCCCCCGCACTGCCGGCGCCCGCAGACCGGCGCTCGCTGCACCTGAGCTTCATGCCGGTGTCGTTGACGCCACAGCCGGAGCGCCGCTTGCCAGGCCCGCGGCGCCACTCCATCGAAAAGGAGACGCCGACCACCACGGCGGCGCGAGAGTTCCCACGTCCCGTGCGCCAGGACTCGCGCTCGCTGGTGAGAGACGGCGCCACCGACGCCGGCACCGTCACCAAAGGGCCACCTTCACAACACCACCTCCACCGCCGCTACACACGGCCACCGTCACAACTCCACCACCGCCACAACAGCAACACCACCGTCACAACACCAACACCACCCGTCACAACACCAACACCACCGTCACAACACCACCACCACCGTCACAACACCAACACCACCGTCACAACACCAATACCACCGTTACAACACCAACACCACCGTCACAGCACCACCTCCGCCGCCACTACACGGCCACCGTCACAACTCCACCATCGCCATCACAACACCAACACCACCGCCACAACACCGCTGCGACGACAATCGGCATCGCCAGTGCAAGTAGAACCACCGCAACGACCAGCATCGCCATCACCACCGCGGCAACCATTGCAAGGGCTACCCCCAACACCACCAACACAACCACCACCGGCATCACCACAAAAACCACTGCCGCCAGTCAGTCGCCGCCCTCACCGGCCCAACCACCAGAGGCGCCACCAGGGTGGCGTTGCCGTGTGTGTGCGTCCCTCGTGTCGTATCCCATCATCATCGTGTCCTCCGCCCCGTTGGCCTCCCTCGCGAGTCGCCACCACCAACTCCTCGTCGTCACCCACCACGGTAAAGCCGCCGCCACCACCCACGACCTTCGCCACCACCGCTATCGCCACCGTCCCGCCACCCATGACCACATGACCACATGAACACCACCGCCAATACTCCACGACCGCCCCCCAATCGCCACCGCCGCTATCGCCACCCACGCCCAAGGTTTGTAGCCGAGCGGTGAGGCTGGGAGCCAGACTCGGGTTCCACGCGGTTCACTCCGCGGTGCCACGACCGCACTTCCGCGCCGCGCGCATTGCGTCCCATTCCATGCTTCATCGCACCCCCCCCCCCGCCCCCCAACCTCCCCCCCCCCCCCCCCTCCTACCGAGCCCAACCTCCGGGCTACGCTCACGCGCCGGCGGTGAGTGGCGGTGATCGACCCCGAGATGGCCGCCGGGGCATATGGCCCCCCCCCCCCGCCCGCCGAACTGCACGGACGACGGCGCCACCGCCGCCAGTGTCAACATCCGGCGACCTCTAACCCCGTTGACCGCCGGCCCCCCCCCTCCTCCCCCCCACCCACCCCCTACCGGTGACACCGTAGTCCTCCCCCCCCGTGGCGGCTGTGGGGGGCCCGCTGCTGGCCAGCGGCCTGTGGAGGGCTCCCCCCCCGTGGCGGCGATGGGGGGGGCCCTGGGACTCTCCTCGTGGCCCCTGGAGGTCTCGCTGCTGTGTGCGGCCGGGTTGCTCTGCAAGGCCCTGCACTTGGTTTGTTCGGACGCCCCCCAGTGGGCTCCCCTGCAGGTGTGCCCCCCCCCCACCACCCTTCCTGAACCCCACCAGCCCCCCCCCACCCGAATCCCTCCCTCCCCCCCCCCCACTCTCCCCACTGTTCCCCCGTGGGGATCGGCATTCAGGACGAACCGGAGGGTTGAGAGAAGGGTAGGGCGGCGATGTGTTTTCGAGGTCGCCGTAGTGGCCCCATGTGAAAATGGCACTGTGCGGACACGCGCGTAGGATGGACAACGAACGGGAAAATTTCTAAAGTGTTGTTGTTGTTTGGGGAAAAATGGATAGAACCGGAAAGAGAGAGAGGTGGGGGTGGGTGGGAGACCTCGCGGACATCGTCTTGACGACGACGTAAGAGACTGGTGCCAGACAGATGGGGCCACTGCTTGTGCCTAGTGACGCAAGACGACGGGGAAGTGCAAACAAATTGACGACACGTGCAGCAGCGGGCACCTACGGGTGGCGGGGGGGGGGCTATCTGCCCGTGGATCGCGACGATGGCGACAATGAGCGGGGGCCCCCTAGCGAGCCCGAACTTCACCGAGCCCAAACTTCACAAGGATTATGGCAAATGGAAAATGTTTGTAGCGTTATGTAATTAATTTCCTTTTGTAGCATACAGTCGTGTATGCTAGAGAACTGAGAAAACAAACCGGGTAGAGGCGGCACAACTTTGGCACAACGAACCGGGTAGAGGCGGCACAACTTTGGCACAACGAACTGGGTACGGGAGGCACAACTTGGGCAACAACAACCGGGTAGAGGCGGCACAACTATTTCCGGCTATGTGATTTATGTTGATTCTGGTCGTAAAATTGTTCAGTTTCTGACGTACGGAAAATTGGGTTACGGCTCGTTCTGCGGAACCTAACCCTTTCCGTAACCCGGGGACCGCCTGTATGTTTAAAATTGGGTGAACCCGCAAGCTACTCGCAATCAGAATATTTCTGCTGGAGGAATCCGACAAGCTCCAAAGCTCTTTGTATCACAGATGTTCCAGTAGCTGCGGGTCCGAAAGTTACGACGAAGCAATGCGGCGAAAAGACGATAGGAGTGCAAAGTATAGGATTAGTAAACTTATTAAGTGAAATCGGTAACAATTAACTATTTTTATTTGACCAGGCGAAGCCCGCTGAGCTACTAACGTCTTTTTCCGAAGTGACCTGTCTATCGCAAATGATAGCTCGAATGGGTAACGCCACAGATCGACTTGTCTGTGAAACACAGCGGCGGTTGCCTTCACGTTAGCCCTGCGCTGTGCCCGTAGCCTGGGCTCCGAGGGTGCCGGTACGTCCTGCGAGCCGCCCCCGCGACCCCCGACCCCCCCCGCCCCCACATGCCCCCCCGATCCCTCTCCCTCCTTGCCACCCAGCGCCCCAATCAACCGAGGGTGGACAACGCTTGCTCTCGCCCTCTCGTCCCTCGTCCTCTGCCCCACCACCCCGCTTGGCTCGCCCGCTTCACTCTCGCCCGCCCCCTTAACCCCGGCTGATTTTGCGACGCGCGCCGCGCGCGTGTGATCTCCCTCTAACCCGTCGCTGCTCGGTGTTGTGTCGTTCTTTTCGCTTTGTCCTTTTCCCCGTTTCGCATTTTGTGTTTTTGTGTTCTGGCGATCTTTTTTCTTCTACGACACCACCCTCCCCCCTTTCCCTGCTGCCTTTTCTCTGCGCACGCTTCTAATCAATGCAGGAAGTCGGACCGCGACCGCCGGTCCTGCACCGTGCCGACGGAATGTTGATCATGGTAAGGGGTGCGAGCGTCTTGGGATCCGATCAACGTCCCCCCCCCTCCACCTCCCCCGCCAATGTCTCTGTGTCCACCCGTCCGTC